GGGGGCTGAAGGGGGGGTTTTGTGGGGAGCGGTTTCCCTAAACTGCGCCACCCGGAGGATGGGTGGCACTACACCCCCAGGAGTGGGGGGAGTGGAAGTCCAACCCATCTTCAGGTTGCCAAGGTTGAGAAACACTGCTCTAGACAACTCCCTTCCTTCAGCCTCCAGAGGTCATACAGGCGATTTTTTTGGCCCAAGGCGACGCTCAATCTTAGCCCTGTGCACCAAAGACGCCAACGTCCAAATGCAGGACAGGTCAAGATAAAGAAATAGGCAGGATCAGAGCATGATCTTTGCAAGGCAGTTTTGCATTTCACCATTTCAGCGTTGGAAAGAACCTGAGGGACCACACCCAAAAGCTGTTTCCCCACTCCAAAGCAAATTATACTTGTGTTACATTGCACCCAGCTCTCTATGCGTGGGAATCTCCACGGTGCTCCGGGCAGGCAACTGGATACAAGAACAGGACAGCCCTTTCTCTATGCCACTGCACTCTTACAGTTTTAGTAAGAAAGCCCCTTCCCGGGGAATTCCCTTTGATTCATTAAATTTCCCATTCCTTCATTTAGGAACAGAAGAAACAGCCTTCCTACCACATGTCAGAAGAGCAAAGCTTTCAGGAACACTCGGTAGCTTTTCTCTGCCGCGTCTTAATACTGAACGAAATCAAGACGGGCTTCCTTTGAGTTCCTTTCTCACACTTTCCTCTTTCTCGGGACGGAGTCATCTTGTCTCCTCCCCGACACTTCAGGGCTCCCTTCCCAAGGCCAGGTCTACACTCTTTCACACCAAGTCAGCCCAACTTGGTCTATCCCCACCGACAACTGCAGGAACCCGGGGAAAATAGTCTTCCCCACCACTTTCAAAGGCAGAGGAAAGCTGGTTGCTACGGGGCCGCTACCAAGCACAAAACCAAGGAAGCTAGATTCACGCAGCCTCATGAACCAGGTTTAAAGCCAGAAAAATGGTTTCTAGCTTACAGAATTTTGGAAATTAGATAACTGTAGTCCAGCTGTTTTTTATTAATGAGGATTTCTTGGAGCTGTTAGATTCTCTTTTTCGCAGACCCTCTAATGCAATGTTTTTCAACCTTGACAATTTTAAGATGTGTGGACTTGAGGGATGATGGGTGACACTGGGGTAGTCCGCTTTTAGCTACCATAATTAGGACCAGCAACTCAGCTGTTAAGCGAAATGGTCACTAAGTGAAACCACGACTGTATTTATGAGTTTACTGCCGTTTTTCTTTGCTTTACAGACCTGCAACGGTCGTCAATGTGAGGACTGGTTGCAAAGTTACTTTTACATCACTGTCGTAACTGCAAACGGTCACTAAACAAGGCAGTTGCTAAATAAGGACAACCTGAATTGGTTTTGATTTGATTTGGTTCATCCAGGCTGGGGCTTCTGTATGTTCCCAGGGGGTTGTTTTAACATAGCTGTTTTTATATTGAATGTAAACCCCCTCAACTCCCAAAAACAACAGTATATAAACAACTGGATCAACCCATCTATCCGTCAAACCAAATCCAGCCATTTGCAATCTTCAAACACAAAGGGGGTCTAGTCCTTCCCTGCCCCAAGTTATGCTCGCAGAAAGCAAACCAAAAACATTCCCATTTATACAGAATCCATGCTGGGGCGAAACCGGGCCACGTTCTCCGCCACCCGGCCACATCCACTATTTCTCGTACAAATGCACCATGGTCACGGTGGCTGGGTTTTTTTGCTTTGGTTTTACCTCCAGACGTTTCTCAAGGAAGGACATGCCTCCGGCCAAGCCATAGCCATACTCGTACGGGAAGCTCCAGTCTCGCACCAGGAACATCAGTGTCTACATTAAGAGAAAAGGCTCAGATTAAGCCTCCCCACCCCATGACTTGCGTCAGAAATCTCCCTCTTCTGCTAGAGGAGACAGATTAAGCGTCGGTGTGGTGTGGTAGGGAAGGCGCTGGACTAGGAGTGTAGAGATCCAGGTTCGAGTCCTACCTCAACCATCGAAGCTCCCTGGAGGATTTTGAGCCAGTCCCTCCCTCTCAGCTCAAGAAATAGGGTGGTTCAGTGGTGAAGGCACTGGACTAGGAGTGGGGAGACCCAGGTTTGAGTCCCATCTCAGTGACAAGGGCTCCCCAGGAGACTTGGGGCCAGTCCCTCCCTCTCAGCCCAAAAGCCAGGATGTTCCAGAGGTGAAGGTACTAGATTAGGAATGGGGAGATCCAGGTTTGAGTCCCCCCTCAGCCACAGAAGTCCCTGGGGGACTTTGGGCAGGTCATTCTCTCTCAGCCCAGCCTACTTCACAGAATTGTTCTGGGGGGGAGGTGAGATTGCTAATGTAAGCTACCTTGAAAGTAAGGTGGAAGATAAATCTAGCAAATAAACCAATACTTTGGCAGTGGCATTTAAACCAGCCACAAGGCTTGTCCTCTTATTTCAAGTCACCTTCAGACAATGCCCCTTTTCTTTAGAAAGGTGCAAAAAGTCTGAATGCAGAATTATTTAATTTGATCCAGGTTGTCCCGACCCCTGGAGAAGCAAAATCATGATGGCTCTGCTTTGATCTCAAAACAATTGTTTCGGACTCAAGACCCTTCCCTGAATGGGAACTACGGTTTCTAATCTGAATCAGAGTACAGCGGACTCAAAACTTTCAGAGTCAAAATGTTCGTCCACCTCGACCTTTCGCCCTGTCCTGTGGCTGTGAGTTCCACAGGTTAATTACAAATGGAGCCGATGGGTGTCCATGTGGGCTCTCCCTGACCCAACACGTACCTGGAATGGCTTGAGAAAGATTTCATCCATGGCCAGACGCCCATATTCCGTAAACAGCTACACAAAGAGATAAAAAGGGACATTGAAAGCTGGTTGCGTCGACGGATCACACGTTTTCCTGGAATTCATGCCTACCTGCAGTTGCTGGAGATCATCTTCTTGGATGTTTTGGGACAAGTTGTAAATCTGAAAAGGAAAGAATCATGTACAAAGTTAAATTCTGGAGCATCAGCTGTGCAGAACTTTTGCAACGAAGGTTTCCGTCTCCCCTTTAAACCCTGAATGACCGATTAGGGCAGAAACCTTCTTTTGTAGCTAAGATTTCTTTGGGGGCTCACGGCAGCTTTGAATCCGTGACTGCACTGAAGAAAGGCCCCCCATTCGCCCCCCCCAATTTTTACATATTATTCCATGGGTAGGTTTTCAGAACCTGAAGAGACTGAAAACTAAATAAAGAAGTGTTTCCCTTTTATGAATCTGTATTGTATGCTTTTTAAATTGCTTTAATGCTTGTAGGGTTATTTTACGTTTGGGGGTTTGGGTATCATGTTTTAATTTTGTAAGCTGCCCAGAATCACATATGTGAGATGAGCAGTTATATAAATTGGGTGGATGGATGGACAGACAGACAGACAGAGGTATCAGGTAGGTAAGTAGGTAGGTAGGTAGATAAACACGATCTCCAGGAGCATCAAGATCTTGAAACAGGCTGTTCTGGATCATCTACAAATAATCTGGCTTCCAAACAGGCTCGCTTTCCAATTAAGATTAGATTTATACCCCACCTTTCATTCAGGAGCTCAAGATGGCGTGCATCATTGTCATGAGCACCCAGCGTCGCTTAGATGAGATGATCAGCCATACAGATGGAATAAATATTACTACTAATAAACACTCTCTCCTCCCATTCTCCCCCACAACAACCCTGTGAGGTAAGCAAAGAGAGAGAGAGCGATAGGCTCAAAATCCCCCAGGGCGCCTCTGGAGCCGAGGAGGGGACTCGTACCTGGATCTCCCCACTCCAAATCCAGCACCGTCATCATTTCTCAGTATAACCCACTCTGAATAGCCTCTTCCGGGAATCTGCCCCCCTTTAATTCAGAAGCAATCAGTTCACCTCTAAGATCAATCAAACCGCTGCACGCCCGTCCTTTAATCACCATTTCCAAACTCCTTTCAGTCTGGCGCAGTTGGCTTCCGGCACTCCCTCTTCCCGGACTCCGGGCTAGTTTTCCTAACATGGCAGTGCCGGCCAGCTGCAAACCGCGGGAACTTTGAACAAGCGAACGGACGGCCGCTCACCTGAACGGAGCTCGTCATGGTGCTGAGGGCAAAAATGGTGGCGCAGTCTTTGACGGTGGACTGGCTGTCAAAGGCTCCCTGGGTGTCCATCAGCACGACAGCGACCTGCAAGAGGAGACAAATGATCCAACATCTGACGTTTTGGAGCCCGTTCTAGCGTTGGGAGTTAAAGCCTTGCATTTGGGTCTCCAAGACGAAGGCTCAAATTCCGCTTGGCCACCCAGCGCCCTCAATAGGCTTGGCCCAATCGGTCGATCTACAGAAATTAAACAGACAATTCCCTGATTTTCCAACGGAGGAAAAAAGCAAAATAGGGCAGAAGGCTTTCTTGAGGCCAAGCAGGTCAAAAACCAGACCTTTCCATATCCCTCGTCAACAAGAGAAAATGATTTTTGTAGCAAGCCAATGAAACAGATGAACAGAGGACTGTTTTTTAAATGATTTGCTCTCAGGATCCCTTCCCACTTTAAATAAGGTAGAGGATCCCAAAAGAGCTTTGGTTTGGACAGGTTATCAATATCTACCATATTAAAAATTAAAACCAACACATTCACAGAATATTGATGGAATCGTGTAAAAATAACAAGATGCCCTTAGATATTAACATAAATATTTTTCATGAAAAAACCTTGCATTTTTTAACAAATAAAAAGTCACGAGAAGAGTGACACTGTTTTCCATTTTTGCAAAAATCTTCAATGCCTGACAAGTCATTTTGATTTCGCAGACCCCTGAGAGGGTCTTGGAGGACTCCACAGATAGAGCCATAATGATATACTGTAATATCAATTATACTTTCCAGCAAAGGGTTAGTCTTTGAAAAGCTGCCCCCTCCCCAAGGTCATTGAGCTTCCTGGTCAGTTTGCTGTAGGTGAATAATTATTTTTTATGCTTTTACTCCAACTAATATCTAAAGTTCTAGAGCTGGTTCTTAGCTCAGGGATGTTGCAAGGAAAAAGCAACAGCTGTTTTATCCACACTCTCCTGAAACGGACACCCATTTTCACACGCTGCGCTTACCTTCTTCCCGCTCGGTTTCTTCACGATGAAGACTTCGCTCCAGATCTGAATGCCGGTGGTCTCGGGGTCGGACGCCCCCCCGCCACGAAAAACCCGTCAACGGCTCGTCGTCCACCCCCAGCCAGTTGGATTCGTCTTCTTTCTGCGGAAAAAGCCGCCACTGTGTCAGAAAGAGGATTCCCCCCCTCAAAAAGTTTTGGAGGATCATAAGACAAAAAAATGCCCGCTGGATATTGTGCCTGGACAGCCTCAAGCCAGAGTTTTCTCAAGTAGGACTCCACAGACCAGACGGACTACAATTCCCATCATGCCAGGCCAGCATACCCCTGCCATCCGAGGTATTCCAAGGCCTGTTGGGTCAAGGGAAGATTTTTCTCTTCTCCATACAGATGTTTCTCTTGGAGATGGAGAGAGAGAGAGACCTCTTTTTTAAAAAAGTAGTTTAAACTGTTTGCTGGACCCAGTCTGACAAAAATAAGATTTTTTTAGGCTCACTAGAACTCTCCATCGACAGACCAAGTCACTTGGCAGAAGACTGGGAACAATGAATATGTTTGGTGCACCTTTGGGAACGCACCACTGCAAGACCCAGGGGCAAAAATATAGGATTTTTATCCTGGTCTCCGATCCCTGAGTTCAAACTGTTAGTCACGAGAGCAGAATAGAAGCTTTGTACGAAGAGAAAAGCTGTTGTGTAACCTCTACACCATGGTATAAAATGATTGCAGATCAACTACAACAAGCCTCAGCTTGCTAACTCCCATGTTCCAACGAGAAGGAAGCTCTCCTTTTCTCTATGGAAGTAAATATGCAACTACACCCAGATTCAAACACAGTTTATTCTTTGTCTAGAACAGTGCTTCTCAACCGTGTCAACTTGAAGTTGGGTGGACTTCAACTCCCAGAATTCCTCGCTGGCTGGGGAATTCTGGGAGTTGAAGTCCACACATCTTAAAGTTGACAAGGTTGAGAAACCTTGGTCCGGGAGTTACAACCAAGAACAAACTGGGGATGAGCATCTCACGCAAAAACCTAGGTTTACTGAATACATCTAAAGTCAAAGGGGAGGAAATCCAGAAAAAAAGAGAGACTGTAAACTCTTTGGGGCAGAGACACACGAAGGGCAATTTGGAAGTCATTGCCCCTAGAAGTGGCCACATCATCAAAACACAGAGGCCCCTTGAATGATACTCTGTCAAGATGACAGGCCTAGAACCCAGGAGACGGTGAGTTCGAGTCCTGCCTTAGGCACAAAAGCCAGCTGGGTCACTTTGGGCCAGTCCCCCTCTCTCAGCCCAACCCACCTCACAGGGTGGTGGTTGTGGGGAAAACAAGAGGAGGAAGGAGTATTAGGTACATCTGCCACCTTGAGTTACTTCTAAAGTTATAAATATATATATTGCTGCTGTGCAATTGGCAGCCAACCTTACCTGGGTGTACAGGTAACGCAAAAGGAAGTCCAAGAGGAAAGACTTGCCCTTGCGGAAGGCCCCAGCCACGGAGACCACCACCACGTCAAGGTCACGGATGGCATCCTGCAGAAGGACCTGGCTCAGCGCCTTCTCGTCCAACTCAAAGGAATGTTCTTCTTTGTGGACCAGAACGATCTGTACTGGAGCCGGCTTGGTGCCCGACATGGCATCTCCTCCTGTCCGAATCAAGAAAGGAACATGGAAGGACATCGTCCATCAATAATTAAGCCCGCCAAGTTCCTCCCCAGGGCAGAATCCAGAAGCTGAAACACAGCCCCTGCGCCCTCCATCTTACACCATGGAAGACAGACCCATTTTTACACCGCTCAGTTTCCCCTCCAAGATCACCCGTGACCGTCAGCAACGAAATGGGTGCTTTAGGGCTACATTAAAACCTATAATATTTCAAGCAATTCCTTCCCCCCAGCCCCCAAATCAGGGTCTGTAAGGACCACCATCACGAACCATTCAAGGCCAAAATAAATAATATTTAGCGTGCAGGGTTGGTGCAGGCTTCATTAAGGAAGCAGGATGTTTATTCCAGAATCTGGAGAATATAATGAACTTTCCAGAGGCAGAAGAGAAGGGACATTGGTCTTCCTCTTGTCATTGAGGCAAACTACAATCCCCAAATAAATCAAACATAACACGGGACAAAAATGCTTTGTCCTGAGAAATTCTTCCGCTGCTATATTATTTCCACGTCTAAACATTTTCCATTCCTAAACACGAATGCTTGCCTGCCAAACAAAAGACGTTTCAACAGCGTAATTTTTTTTTCTCCATACCACAGTCCGAGCAAGACGCACGCTTGCATAATCCGCCCGCAGTTTTTTGGGCTTGCTGAAATTACGTTAGCGCTTTTGGGTCTCCGCTAACTTCTTCAAATTTAAACAATGTTGAAATCGACATTGTTGTGAACTGGCCAGGCTCAAAATATTTACAAACGTTTTGATCAAAACAATGTTGAAGTGAATCATGGAGGCAGCCGAACGTACCACGTTAAGTGTACTTTATTGATTCTCTTTTCATAATATATTATTTCAGTTCTATCTTCTGGGTTCCTGAAAAACCAATTAAGAGATATTTATACAGCAAGGCCACACTGTCTGGCAATGATGGGAAGTGTCTGGCCAAAAAGGATGGAGCTGAGGAATTCTCTCTCTCTATATATATATACACACACACACACATACATACACACACATACACACGCACAACAGATAGAAGGGGATATAAGGGGTAGGAGTTGCAGGTTCCTAGATTTTGTTTAAATCAGTGTTTCTCAACATTGAGAAACGTTAAGATGTGTGGACTTCAACTCCCAGAATTCCCCTGCCAGCATGCTTTAAGATGTGTGGA